ATGACATGCTCAAGTGACTCAAAATAGTAGAAACTTCACTTACATTTTAATAATTATATATGAATCATTTCGATTGCACAAAAAAATGTTTTATTAGGTCGCTTCGCCTCTCAAACGCAAATACAGCTTGTCAAACAAAGCGTTACATTTGATCCTAATGAAACAATATACTATTATGTCGTATTATGTTCGAAACGATGTTTTAGCTCTGTTCATCATCGGCATCAATTTCATTCAGCGTATTTCCTTTTCCTTCTTTCACCCATGTTACTTATTCATGAATTATCTAACAATTCAAAGAACATTTCTTGCTCGATATGTGAGTACCTACTTTTATCTACTAAAAGTAATTTGTACGCATCACCACGCTCAGTTGGTCTAGTGTATTGTATTTTTTTCTATACCAAGAACGAATATCATCATCCATTCAAGGTTATCTATCCGAGTTATATTGATTTCCGAAGCTGATGGGACCGAAATAGATTTGGTAGTTTATATGTATAATATCTATTCGGTAAGACTACGAATACCTACTGCATGGAGAAATTAATAGAATTCGATATAACCACTGAAACTGTTAATGTTATATCATACCAAGTTGGAAGGGCATCAGATTTCTCCTAATAACGACATAAAAAGGGTGTTTTCGTGCAAAAGATCAATTTTGGCAGAATCGTATAATTGTTGATCCTGATTATATTCCTATACGATCTCGAGCAACCGTCGTTCGTGCCGCCATATTGAAAAAATGCTGCTTCTGTAGGTTCTAGAGAAGTTTCTCTTTGAAAAAAATATGTATCAAAATTTGCTACGAAAAAACTACCATATAAATTTCCGATGAAATGATATTTCCTGAGTAACATGGCTGGGATGTAGACGGAGATATTGAAGTCTCATCTAGAGGAACAGCTTCGGGGATCTTGCAGACCATCCGTATCGATCAGCAAAAGCAATATAGAGACTTTTAGTCGCCGCTGCACTAGAACGCAGGTATGATGATCAACTTAGAGAACAGCTATACTGGGCACAGATGAAGACACGTCTACAAAAATCTGGCGAGTCTTCAGGAATTCGAAACTGATGTGCAAAGACTGATCCATCCATATCCTATCCGAGTGTACAAGAAGACACCAAAGAACAACTGGCATTGTAACTATTCATTGATGGGCTGACAGACATTGAGATTGAGAGAACCCTGCAACTAATGAATTTCACGAAGAGTAGTGGAATTTTGGTCCGATCCCTGGAGGTAAAAGCAGTTTTCAGTACCTACCTCAAGGTGAAAAGCTCAAGCGGTGTTGAGGAACCGGCCCAGCAGAGTGATACAGTGATATATATATGGTTTCCATTCCCACAGTTTTTTATCATCCTACCTGGTTCTCTTCTATGTAGGTGTCCCTACCATTTCAGCCATTGTGCTTTGATGATTTTCACTATGTCTGCACCATCCTCTGCTTCCTTCATTTCATGATTCATTATTATCCTCTGTTTCCCTTCTTCTGTTCTCACGGTCCTTAGTATTCTCCTCATTATTTTTCTCTTGAATATCTTCAGCTTTTCTTCTTCTTCATTTGTCGAACTCATTGTTTCAGCTCCATAGGTGACTATTGGTCTAATTGCGACATGGTATAAGCACTTTTTCATTTTCTTGCTTAAATTTTTATCTTAGAGTAAAGTCGACTACTTTCAATATTTCTGAAGAGTAATTATAAGTTCTGGAAGATTTACCTGAGTCTAAGAAATCAATAAAAAACATTGCTCATTACTGAGAGAGAGGTATTTTTCCTTATTGAGACATTTTCAAATTTGCAAAAAATGAGAAAAATCATTAGATATTGATTAATAAGATTTGTAGAGAACTAGGTCCACGAAATCGAGAGCAACACCCTGTAGTATTGAATGCAGATCATCATTTCACCCGATATTTTTAGCTATGAACATGGAAGGCTTTGTCATGCTGGCCCTCAGAAGTTTTTTTCAACTATTCGTGAAAATATATGGCCATTACGTGGCTCCTTCTCGCTAGAAAGACGGTGCTTTATGCTTAATCCTAGGCGAAATTCCCAAATTATGGAGTTGATATAATTATTGGAATTAGGAATCTCCATACAAGATCAATAAACCATGAAATGCTCATTTTCAAACGGAAACGTGTCATGGCATATTATTTCTTTTCACTTCGGCGGACTTTGGGAGGCAGAGGTTGAGTCCTCAACGCGTATTAGGAGATAACAAATTAACTTATGAAGAGTTGACTACTGTCGTCACTCAAATAGATTCAATACTCAATTCCCGTCCCCTGATCCTACTATCCTGACCCAGCCGACATGGAAGTTTTGACATCGGCCCATTTCCTGATCGAGCGATCTTCGATATCAGGACCTGATCCAGACATGCGAGATATCAAGAAAAGCCGTTCATTCAAATAGCAGAAGCTGCAGCAGTTACAGCAGTCATTTTGGCATCGTTGGTCAGAAGTCTATGTTGCAGAGCTCCAGCAACGGGTTAAGTGGCACTAGACTAAATTAGCTGGCTACTAGGACGAGTGCAGCAACTACATCCTGGACCAGATGGCGTGGTAAGGGTTATCACTACTATAACTTGCAAGGGGGTATACTAGCTTTGTCTTAGCTCTGTCCGCTGCCTTTGGATGAGCTATCGCATATCTAAGCATTGTGTAACCCAAGATTTACAAAGCACCACTAAGTCATGACGTCAGCTAAGACTGTTTGTGGAATCCTTCTAGAATGAGGGTTGGCGACAGGTAGTACTACCAGTACCACGAGAGAACCAGACGAGAGAAAATGTATTAACTACCTCAGATAAAAACGTATGGTTTCTTCAACAGCATGCACTGTTCGTGAGAGATTCAAATTTCTCTCCTCAAGTTGAAATATACAGATTGTTTTCAATTTGAAATACCGAACGATCTTTGGAGATAGAAAAATGAACTGGAAGAATCAATCCTATCTAAAAATGGAGAAGATACAGCTAAAAGGAAAGTTCGGTTCGACGAAAAGAAAAGGTCAAATGACGAAGCGAAACTTTGAGTCGACTGATGGGGAAGAATTTCCGAATATAGACAGTGACCAAAAAGATGACAAGATGACTCAGAATGTCTTTTTTGTTCAGGACGTGTTCAGGCTGACTTGGGAGAAATTGTTACGGTTTCAAATTTTGTTGAATCATAATTATTCCCTGAAAGTGACTCTTAATGGAATAGTCGATGAAAATTCATTTATTCAGCAAAACGGTCAATAATCATTCCATAAAGTATGCTTGGTTTTCATGTACCAGTTGCAGGGCTGCTATACGATTCTCCTGATACCTAAAAATGAGTTATGGATTAATAATGGTATTTTTTAGTATGATTACACAATTACTTACCCAGCAAATATCAGATTCCCTTGAGTTTCCAGCTCCACTTGATATGGGTCGTTACCAGCTGTAAAATAAACTAGATTAGTTAGGAATCCGTAAAGAAAATAAATAATTACCTTGTAGGAACTTGAACAAGAGGACAATAACATTGAATTCAGGATTGAGGTTACAGAACTATTCGCTCGACATATTGTCTTCTTCTGTATTCTTCTCTATTTAGGTACTCTTAAAGAATAACCTAAAAATAAGATAACCTGGGTATTTCGCCAAAATACCGCCAGAATATGAAATGGAATTGATAAGCGACTTTTTTGTAACCTAGGAAGGTATAGAAAACGTGTCCTCGCATTTTAGCAGATTTTTCATTTCAATAATCAAAATCAACCGAAATTATAGTAGTCAAAGGACGGTCCACTGGCTACTACATATAGATGGATAGTATTTCTGGTAAAATTTGATTATATGTATATCATATTTTCCAACTCACCGTAGTTGCTACCTCAGGTCACCAGATATCAAGGTATGTCTTATATATCAAACTATATTCCTGCCAATCTCTCCATATTTCTGTAAATCCTACAATTCTCTACAAGGTATTATCATTATTTGCAGGGCCTTTTTATTCGTACTTGTAGTACCTTATTAGTTGCTTTCCACCACTTGCAACCACTATTGCCTTCGCTTCAGAATATTTACTGGCACAGAACTTTTACTGCTGGCTGGTATGCTTGGCTTGCCTGTGTAACGCTTTTACTGCTTGCTATATGCCTAATACTGCTTGAGACTCGCCCGCAACATAGTAAATTAACGAGAGGTGGATCACCCAAGTTGGAGATATGGGACCCCTACCTAGAGAGTTCTGTCTACAGCCATCTCTGCAGAGTGGAGATTAGACCAAGTGAGCTGTATCGCTTTCTATTTTGTAGTTCCTCTTATTCTGAACATTGCATACTTGTTTCCTCTATCTTACATAAATTTAGTATAGGTATTCTATAGTTTACCATTTGTTCACTTCTGGTATCGATACCTCAAGGTGAGTTGGTAGCTAAACCCACTAAGATTTGTGAGCAAAGAACATATGCAAGTAATTATTAACTCTCATTGAGGAGTACCCCTCTTGGTGCAGTACTTACTCCATCCACACTCGAACTGAAACAACTCCCTCACTAGTTAACTATTAAGTTATTGTTTCTCGTATTCCCACTACCTGAGTTTTATTTGGAAGTTGTATACTGTGAGCATTTAACTAGAAATACGTGAGAAAATGTAGATACGGTGTCTAAGATGCGAGCTTTGGGAACATAAACTGTACGCTCATGCTGAACGCTATACTTGTCGTTAGTCAGTTCCACACTCGGTTCCACATTAGGGCTGCTATGGGTATTTTATCTTACTCTACCATTTTTCGGCCTGCGGAAATGTAGATTTATTTTATTAATAAACCATATTTTTAGCGGTATTCCATAATCCCCGCGACTTTACTCTATTGATGAGATTGCAGAAGATGCGGTTGCTAAATATCAAATTCGAAGGAATAATATCACTCCATAAATTTTCTGCATCATATTCGTGAATGCAGGTATCATGAAAAAATCTGAACTGTTGTATTTATGTTACAGGCAGTCGAACAAGATCGTCACATCTTGAGGCGAAAACTTCACTCGAAAGAATCCGAATTAGATGCTCGCATCATCGAACTACAAAATGATGTCCTCGAATTAACATCGAAGGTAAACGCCAAAGACAACTTACTTAAGCAGCTGGAGCGAGAAAAAAGCAGCTTGGTGGCTGAACTAACAGCGCAAAACACGAGGCTAACCACGCAGCTGAAGCAAGAGTCGCAGAAACAGCAACATCTTAGGAGCGAGTTGGATAAATACAAGGAGCAGTTGATGTTAGGAAAACATAATTTTCAGGTTTGTATTTGAACCAATCGGTAAAATGAGATATCCTTTCCATTTGCGAGAAAAAAAAATGCCGAAGGCAGGAAAGAATATCATCATCACCCAGGATCAAGATTATATCCTGAAGCTTCCGCCGAGGGGTATAAGGTCCCGTGGCAAGAATATTCGATCTTTACTACCGAGGTGTATATTAATTTTTTTTCATCACTAGCAATACATTTCAATCATGCTAGATCTGTGAAACTGAACTATGGACGTATTGTCACTATGAAAGCACTTCTCTCCAATTCTAATTTGAATCTAGTATTCATGACCATGACAGCATATGACAAGTCGTTATTTACTAAACTCGAGTGCCATTCCAGCGAGTATCGCATCAGAACAGTGAATTCAGGTTGATTACTACAGAGAAAACTACCTTGGTAGTAAAAAAGATATTCACGATACGAGTATCGTAAAGACTCATATTACGATATGAGGTGGAAAGTTTGTCAAACGAGCCGAATGCCGAGTATAGTACAATATTTTACCTACAATATTTCTTGAACTGACGATTCATTAGGAATATGTAACAACCAAGCGTTGCAAGGGTTGGGCGTATGGTTGTCGTGAATCTATTGTGTTATCGGTTGTCACTCATTCGGCGAACTGTCAACTTTGACGCGTTAATCTCAATTCGAAAAAAAATCGCGGCATGAATTCGGATCAGGAAAGTTTATAATTTGATATAGAAATTGCGGCGAATGCAGCAATCGAAATTTCAGTACCTGCTAAATCCCGGGATAGGTACGAAAATATGTAAAAACTTCACAAACGATAAGATTTCCACACAACATGTTTCGCTAACACAGTAGCTTCGTCAGGTGATATACTGGTACAATGAACCAAACCAACGTTGGCTTGCTTAACTTTTATATATCCTACTTTTATATATCCTACTTTCCCAACTTGGAGGAAATCCTTGATTTACAGGAAATGAACTTCGCCCTTTATTTCCACTTATAGTATTTATAAGATGAGATCGATGTTTATTTTATATATGGAAATAATAAAGACGATATATTATATTATTATTATTATTATTACCCGTGGACAAGATCGATAAACCTCCATTTTCGGAAATTAGGCACAATATCTACATCAAATTACGGTATACCGGATTACCGGAAAACAAATTCTCCTTCTTAGTAGGTAATAATATTTATTTGCTATCATCCCTTTCGAGTTAATCCGTGTGGAGGTGATCGTTTTCGAGATATTTACAATTTTCTATATCGATGCATGTTACTTAGCTTCTAGGGCTAAGTGAAGTTGCTGCGAACATTGCAAAAACTAAATATGTAGTAGGTCTCATCAGAAATACCTTCTTTTTTTCTATGGAATGTTCATCGAGAAATTATTGGTTTCCTGAATTTCAACACCCTGTATCTCCGAAATGAAGCATTCCCGGACACAAGTTTATACAGGGTGTCTGTAAAAGGTTGGGACATGGCTCGGCTGTAGACTCCTGGGATAAATACGAATTGATCTAGGCCAACTTATCTATATCCAAAATCGTTTCGTTGGGTTGGTATAATAATTTTTCAGAGGTTAGACTGGATATTAACAGTTTTTAGTTTTTTTTTTTCAGAAAGGTATTCCCTTCAGAAATATTCTTCGTATTGTGTTAATTTTTGATAAGCCTCGAGGTTCATTTGCAAATGACTAATTTCTGCTCTGAGGATCTTATGCATTTTTTAGAAAAATAATCTAGTTAGAACATGGCTTGACTGTAGACTCCTGGGATAAAAATATGTTGAATTTAGCCGATTTTTAGCCGATCTGGCTGGATATTTTCATGGACGATGCTCCTGAAATATCAACAATTGTTCTTCCCTTGGCAGTCCCCGCGAGATTAACCCGTCGAGTTGAGGCTTCGCACCCCATCGCGGCCACTTAAGAGTCACTAGAGACCTGCAGAATATCTCTTTCCAAAGACTCGTTCATACAACGAACGGCGAGGCTCTGGAACACATTGCCAAAGGAGGTGTTCCCCGAAGCATATAACCTCCAGAAATTTAAGAAGAACACCAATTCCTACATCATTTCCCTTGTTTCTCACGATGTTCTCTGAACATTACAGGATATCCCTTTTCGTGGGAACCGAACATAAAAAACTTACCTATATCCAGAATCGTTCCGTTGAGTTGGTACAAGGCGTTAAAGTTTCTTGGGAAAAAACTATTTTGCTCATAAAAAGAGTAAGCTGCTGAGATCGATTTTTATAATTTTTGGCATGTCATGTTCTGTGACTGTAGGTCACGTTTTCAGATGTTTTTGGTCATCATCAGTAATTTTCAAGTGTTTGAAACAACTATCTTGCCGTACAAATTTGGTGATAACTTTTCAGAGGTTAGGCTGGAAGCTTTTCTCCGAGAAAGATATTTTCTTCAGAAATATTTTTTGTAAAGATATTTCCTCCAGAAATATGTTTGTATAGTGCTACTTTCTGACAAGTCTCCAGGTTCATTTGCAAAAAAAAGTTGGCTGAAATATCTATTACTAGAGGAGGCAAAGAGGCTAAATAGGGATTTACTCGAGCGTCGTGGGGACGTATCAGATTGTAATTTTTTTTTTTTTTTTTTTATCGCTTGGAGCGCACGAAAGGGAATCCCTATAATGTTCAAAGAACATCGTGCGTTCCTAGGAAGGATAGGGACAAGAGGTAGGTATTGGAATTTTTTTTGAACTTTTGAAGATTATATGTTGTTGGGAATACTTCCACAGGCAATGAATTCCACAGCCTAGATTGATTAGATGAGAAAATAAAAAAAAGTTTATATGATATATGACCTTTCACTGGTGGGGAGAGCGTGTACAGGTGTTCAAAAATGAAAAAAAAAACAGTCACATAGAAATACTCAAGCGCATCAGATATTATTAATGTATGCGCCCCACACGTGTTTCTGATAACTGAAAAATATCAATCTGCCAGTTTGCATGGTGGGGGTGGCCGTACGAAAAGATAGAGAAGAGGTGAAAAAAATTATTCGATCGCGTCAAATATTGAGAGGGGAAGTTGAGTGAACCCTCAAGTACCTCCTATTCAAAAGACTGACGATTTGGACGCGACCAAAAGTCATGATCAATTTTTGAAAATTAAAAAAAAAATCGTGACCTTGAAATATTCGAGCGCGTTAATGTCCTTGTCGTATCGACCCATAATCTGACAATTATGTAGATCAATTACCTTAATCTGACGGATAGATTTTTTTGTTCACTGAATGTAATAAATACTAATATTAAATATACAGGGTGGGTCAGTTTTCTGTAGCAGGACTTCAACAGCTCGAAGAATTCACAATTTTGAGATGGAAGGCTCATCTAGGCTTACAAGGTGGACCAATATTGTGGCAAAGTGAAATAACGGCTTTGCTGTTTGAGATAGATGAACAAAAATTCTTGGTCTAGTCTCATGAGCAGTAAATTTTTTTGAAATATTTTGCATTATATAGGGTTACTCAAAAATGCGTGGCGTATCAATAAAGTTATACTTTTTATTATAGCACACCTTGTATTTTATTGCATTTTCAGATTCATCCTTATGAGCTGATTGATAACAATATACGAAGTGATACTTTTTTTTTAGTTCCCTACGTTATCACAATTACATACATAGTTCCTAGTGGCTGCAAGCACGACACTTAATTGATGATTTTCGCTACTGCGGCTTGTGCAAATCGACAGATTATGTTATTTCCGTGATCCGTGACTAATTGCCTTCAAAATAAGAAATCGATAATGTACAGGTGACGATTTTTTTTGCAACCTTGTGGCTCTCCCATTTCCTTATGTCACGCTCAAATCGTCAGATTATTGAAATGCACACTATCCTGCATGTAATTAACGTACCATGTCTATTGGTCTGATGCGCTCGAGTATTTTTGACGATCGATTTCTTTTACTAATATGATCGGCTGCCCTAAACTTTCGACACCATTTAAAGTGCCCAGGTATTGTGGGAGTACTTCACAAGGTCCAAGGATACCCCCCTTATGTTAATCTGCCGCGCTCGAGTAAATCTCGAAATCCCTGCTTGGGCTTCCCTACTATATTCTTAAAACTTCAAACCAGTAATATCCCTCATTTGCTTGTCAAAATAACATAATTTCATTGTGGAATTTTAATATCCAGAGTTTTCCGTTAGAATTTATTGTTTCTTATTATTATTTTTTGTTTTAGTATCTTATTGTTTCTTATTATTATTTGTTTGAGTTTCTTGTTCCTTGTTGAGTTCATAGATATTGGCTACAACGTATTCTTATGGTAAACAAACTGATATGTTGCTGGTTCTTGGTTTTTGTGAAGAAAATTGTCGAAGTAGCGTTAAAGTTTACCAAGAAAGGTTTATTACTAATCTTCCGGTGCCGACTCATAAGACATTCGCAAGAATTGAGAGACGTCTTCGTGAAAATGGTAAATTGAAACCATCCTATGTGAATTGTGGACGCCCTCGCGCAATTCGCAATCCACAAATGGAAGAGAACATTCTAAAGACCTCAGAAGAACATCCTGGAAGAAGTAAACGTGATTCGGCTCATGAAATGGGAGTTTCTAAAGACGTAGTCCACAGTGTTATCAAAAAGCAACTCCTACATCCCTATCATCTTCAGAGTTTACAAGAACTCCTACCAGCAGATCCCGAATCTCGGCTTACAATTTGTAGATTCATTCAAGAAAGTCGGACTGAAGATCTTCAGTTTCATAATAAAATTCTTTTCACCGATGAAGCGTGCTTTACTAGAAGAGGTATAACAAATTCACACAACGAACATGTCTATTCAGATGACGAATTTGGTACCGTGTACGTCCTGAATACGGTATGCGAGTTGTCTTAGGCGCTCTATTCGCTAGATAGCCGTTTACGAGGCAGATGTGCTGTCGGTTCGACATATAGAATATATATATAATAGCATGCTCAGATGAGTTTTAGTGACAGACATGCGATTAAAAGGTACACGGCGAAATGCCTGATGGTTAACAGATAGTTTGTAAATCTTGAATTCTTAGAGAAAACTGATAGAATGTTCAATGCTCTTGTGATTTGGAGAAGACTATGAATAAAATGTTTGAATTTCGTTGAGTTTTGAACTTTGGTTTGTGGATGGTTGCCTTATATGTGAAATATCTAGAGTCTGAAAGAACTAGTGCAATTTCAGTTGCATTCAAGAAATAAATTTGCAAAACCTTGGTATGAGATTCATATCAGTGTGTCCGCACTGTAGACTATCTCTTCGAGAGACTGCATACATGGTTGTGAGCTATAATCTGCTTGGTGGCAATTTGAGTAAATTTTCAACTGAAATATAATGTTTCGATGATTATTCCCAGTAATAATAAGTTTGAATGATTTAGCTGATGAGTTGTTATTTTGCAGTCTAGTAGCAGTAATGGGCGTGGACTGGAGTTGATACATTGTTGAGTAGTTCAGTGTATCTTGAATAAGATAATCGAAATCATTGTTGTTGTTTCTGTGTGGAAATTAAATGGTAACAGTGACATAAGAGAGTATTTTTGCACTCGTGATTATACAATCGAGGAAAGGAAGAAATGAGGTTATCTCCACGAGTTTCGATTCCATTGTTGCCAAGTCGGGGGCATATTTCGGTCTTGGAGGAGACCGCATCTTCAGACTAATTAGAGGTTCTACAATGAAACGAAGATTACTGTGATGGGAATACATTAACCTACGTGATGTTGGAAAACGATATTACTATGTAGCAAAACTGTTGACCGATGCCCAAACATTTTAATAAACGGAGGGTTCCCAATTGATATACTATAATACTATGATACTATAAAGGAAACATTTACCAATAAGATTTTTACAGCCAGCGCGAGTTTCAAATCTGAACCGACGGGGTGAGAGAACACATATCTACATGAAAATAATAATAATAATGATAATTATCTGTGAAAATGCAGTGAATCAGAAGTTGAAAACCAGGGTAGGAGTAAGGGCGATTAAAGTCCGGAGAGTTGAAGAATCTAATGCGGTCGGAATATGTTTGATTGAGTTGATTTCGAGAATTTCTAGTGGGTTCGAGGAATTGAAATGGACCTGAAATAAACGTTCAAAAGACGTCATGTGCTGTAAATGATTGAATTATAATGCTGCTTGTGAAAAAAAATGTAAAATAAACCTTGGTAGTGAAGAATATCATTACCACGGGGCCTTATACTCCTCGGCTGAAGCCTCGGGATATAATCTTGGTCCCTACTACTGCCCTAGTGTATGAATACCATTTTTTTCTGTTCTGTCACATTTGAAGTGGGACCAGCAAAAATTTTTATTGGATCAAACAATCTTCAATTCCATTCGAGATTGTAATATTCGTTATCCTACCTTTCCGACATGATAACCTACTGGGTGATATCTGAATAGGTGAGAAATTTCATTGGTTCTCAGAAAAGGCGTGTATTATTCGTGAAGATATTTAATGTTGAATTGAGTGGAATAGTGTTCTTGATGCGGTTCAATTGATCCGCAGTTCAGATGAAAATAAGGTGATTTCAAAAAAGTATGATAAAAACCATTTTTGATAATCTTCTTGGCTTCACTGATGAAGGAACCAAACGGTGGAAACAAAATGTGATTTTTGTCACCCGTGTCAAAAATTCGTCCTATCCTGAAAACATATTCACTGAGAAGACGTTTACATATGGAAAAAAACAATAGTATGTGTTTATTTACCTGCCTGAATATCATTGATACCATGGCAACCGTTTGAAAGTCATACTGGAATTCATTATTTTCATTTTAACTTTCAAGGTCAATAACTCCGTATCGGAGTACTATATGAAGTACTAACCGAGGTACTAACAATATTTTGGCTCACTCTATCATCTCTTTTATTTACGACATGACCTTCCTGGACAACCTTTATATATATGTTAACACGAGAAAAATATCTTTCACAACAGTTGAAAATATATAGGGTGTTCTATTTGGAAAAACTGTTTTGGACTCTTTTCTTCTATTTTGGGATTCGCATTTGATTATTTAAGGAGTGACAAAAAATATTACAGATGAGATTAAACAACTCTCATATTTGATGTTGTCAAAATATCAGAAGATTTCTTCGTTAAGGTTTTTTTTTAAACTACACATTATATTTTCAGGAGCACATAAGGAGTACTGTTGGTTTGCGAGACGAATTAGATATGCTTACTGAAAAAAACAAGGATATCGAAATTCGATTGCAGATGGCCGAAGCTGAGCGAGATAGTATATCTGTGGAGTTGGAGGAGGCATCAGACAGAATAAGACTCATGAAAATGCATGCTAGGGAGCAAGATGCCCGATACCAACAAAGCCTCAAAGAATATAGTTTACCTCAGGAGAAAATGTCAATTGAAGAACGAGTTAGTGGTACGTATTCAGGCAAATGGTATATATTACATATTGGGTTTTAAAAACGTTCATTTCATCCAGTTATATATTTCGCTCATCAATTTGTCTAGTATCTGCTAGAGGGGTATTTTCCTGTTTATAATAATAATAAGTAAGTTCATTAACCACTGTGCAATAAAACAATAATAACAAAAATAACTAGATTATCTACAAGAAATATACAAATCTTCAGATTCACACTCGGTAAACACGTTATGTTTCTTTTTATCTTCTTGACGACGCCTTTTCTCCAGAGTAGCTGATTATACTCATCCAATTCTAAATTGAGTTGGCTGCAAATTTCAGGATGGAATACGGCAGAAAAAAATTGGAATATTTTTCCTGAGAGCTTCGAAAACTGTGGTATTTCTCTAGTAATTAGAATATAATAAATAGGCCCCTAGTTTTACTGTGTTGACAATAATAATGATTTGTTAGTCTATTTGAGGTATATTTCCACGAAAAAAATGATTAGATATGAATATTAATTACACAGGGTCTCTATAAATGATCGCAGCATCGTAGTGTTCCCTCATGTCGAACAATAACACATTCGGCAGTCGCTCAACATAAGCAGAGTGCGGCACTATTTCAACGGCCACTATACGGTGTATGCACAGGGTTTCTATGAATGATCGTAACTTAAAGAAACCGTGTACATACAAGGGTGTTTCATTTCTCATGGAAACACTCCTGTATTCTTTCACCTAGCTATTAGGATATGACTTGCAAATTCACAAGAGCCAGAATATCGACGACTTACCTGATCAATATGGCGATGATCAATCTGAATTATTCTCAGTAGTGATACGATAAGTACTTCAAAATATCCGAGGTGTACATCGATAACTTGTTGCAAATTACAAATAGTGTCAGTTTCACTGCTAAAATAATCCAACCGCGAAGCTGCAAATTCAGACCGCCATCTAATAACGAAATGTTATATGTTCCAAAGTCATGTGGAAACATTTTTTTTTATCGAACGGCACCTGTGCATGCCAGTCTCTATCCTGAGGAAATGATTGATTGAAAAATGACAGATTCTTGTTCGATGAGTTGCACCCAATTCCGCGATTTGATAAGAAGATAAGAATTATACCATCCGATACCAATTGAATGGTAGATCTCAAAACCTACCTGTGCCACCCCTCAATCTGAGTCAAATCCACAGCACAGCGATTTATTCGCTGCCATTATTCCGGACATACTTCCGTTATGTCGTGATAATGTGTTGAAACTAAAAGCAAATAAGAGGGGATAATGCCCCCTTTGCGAAAATCTCAACGTTCCGCGATTCAAACTGATCTAAATTTAGTAGCAGAACTTCAATATTTCCGAGACTATTTCGCCGCTGTCGGAAGGTAATACCCGATGGACCAGTGTTGAACGCATGTGGTGCTCGCTATACAAGTATTCAAATCCACTTGTTGAGTTTTACACTATAGTCCATCGGATAATATATCTTTCGAGGAAAGCAAAATATTCTCTGAAAAAATCGCTGTGCTGTGGATTTGACTCGGATTGAAGGGTGGCACAGAGGTTTCTGAGATACACCATCAAATTGTTATGGAATGGAATAATTCTGATTTCGATATGAAATCAAGAAATTGAATACAAATTACCGCTTAGGAAAGTGCCATTTTTTCAATCATTCTGCTTAGGAAAGTGATTGACATAGGTCGTTACCACCGATACAACAAGGCCTGCATGCTCCGTGGTTGACGTCACTTAGTAAGGCCTAACCAGCGGCTCGAAACGACAAGCGCTTATAGCGCTATAAGGCGACCGCGTATTTCGATTTTAGTTTTAGATCATCATTGAGCCGATTTTGCTGTTTTTTGAATGGCTTCCGGTTGAAAAAGGATGCCAGTCGTCAACTGAGCCCTTCTTCGCACCCCATTCTATTTTATTATGGAAAAACGAAGTTTTAAAGCAAAAACCAGGATAAAACACAAATATCCACCTACAGCAACCCATTCGAATTGAATATATTGGCAAAAATTGTGGTGAAGGTAAACTTCACACCTACTTATACAGGGCCCGCAGAACATAAACTTATCGTGAGATTGATCGAAAGAAAATTGTGCAAAATGTATTTTATTTTGATTGGCATGCCGTTTGTTACAATTACCTATATTTATCTTGGAGAATTCCTATTACCTGAAAAAATAACCAGTGAGTGTTTTCAATTTTATGTTGTTGGATTTTTCACCCAAGTGGATCGTTACACTTGAAACCGTAATTTTTAAGGGTAAAACTGCATTTATCATGCTATGGTTTTTTTTTGAAATTTTTTTTCGGTACTCACGTATTTTTGTCTGATAAACCAAATTTTATAATGAAAATGTGAACAAACCACTATTTATTGAGATATTTCAAGAAAAAGTTCGAAATTTCGCCTTCTTTCTCCCCTTGTGTTGGGGGCATTTGAAGCTACTTGCTCTTATTTTGTCATTGGACACTTTATATACTCATGATGTACTTTGATGGCACATTTTTATATAGAAAATTCAACAGGAAGTATGATTTTTATGGCGAGTTTTTCATATTTAGTGAACAAGCATTCCAGATGACGACCATTTAATCAATAGTCAATCAAAATACGAGTGTCAAATGTCAATAGATTGCTTTCGAATGACATTGCACACGCCATTATTTTGAATGATATTCTTCCTTCTTTTCACTAAATATGGATTAATCTCAAGAAAATCATATTTATAGTTGAATTATATATAAATTGTCCAATATGATGAAAAAAGAAGGGAAATTTGTTCTAAATGCCATCCAGAAGACAGGTGAAAAAGGAGGTGAAATTTGGATTTTTTTCGTCAAATATCTTCATGATAAATATCATGATGAATGCAGTTTTACCTTTTAAAGTAGAGTGTTTGTAGTTCATGTTAATATGATAGTTGCAATTTGATCATTGGAATGAATTCTGCATTCATTGCCACGAGGCAAATGACCGTTTTCAGAAAGAAATTTGAGAATGAGAATTGAAAATGCCCGTTTATTATGAACATTCAAGAAAATTTCCTCGAATTCAGAGATGATTTTGTTGACTATAATATACGAATACAAAACTAACTGCTCAATCAAAGCTTCTCTATTTTTCCTCTACTTATACTTTTTATGAGAGAGTAATTGTCTCCTATTATTAATTCATCATTATAAATTAAGCTCTGTTTACTACTGAACTCAGATGGAGTAAAATCCTCGCGGTGAATTGCATATACCCACATTTTCGATAGCTCCTCGTCCAACGGGAAACTAAAAGCATGAACTTTTGAACCATCCACATAATTCCCCCGACAAAAGGGAACACAACACTTGAAAGGCATTGTTATTTCGCCGATCACAACACAAAATATTCCATAAAACAGTAATTTTTGCGCCAATTATTTTGATGAATAAACAACAAAAGAATTCGTGACCGTTTCAAAAACATACGTGAATCACCGTTGAATTAACACGAACTGACGCGTTAGTCGACAAGCGATAAAATAAAACTCTGGCCTCTCTTGGTCACGTCACGAGCTGTTTACGTCAGAGTCTGCTGGCCTTGTTGTATCGGTGGTAACGCATAGGCACCTTTCGATAAAATACAATGTTTTAACTTGCCGTTGGGAAATTTCATTTCGTAATCAGATGACGATCAGAATTTGCAGCCGGCTCTTGGACTATTCTGTGTCATGAAGGTGATAATGTGCTCAACTTCAATGATGCATCATTCGAAAAGTGATTCTCAAAGTTATTGTTTCGTCGCATAAAAATTATAAATTCGCATTAGAAAATAACACGTCGCCCCACCTGACAGCAACAACTTAAACACTTCTGAGCGGTTTGTTTTGGTGATACGACCAATGAGCACAAACAAAAAACGAATGTGAAGCGATGAAAACAGAGCAAACATGCCGTTTTGACAGCTTTGAAGAACTCCTTCAGGTGACGAACGTTTATTTTCTATCGCGAATACCACGACAGTTTATTGACAGTGGAATCTGCTGACATTCACGGATATCATACAGATTGTCTGAAAGAAAATAACCTGCATAATTTGATTCCATTTCCTTTTACATAAGTATCCAATAAGGCTTTGATACATCGAATATGCTCTCTAGAGGGCACTTTCACAATATAGGATTTTGTTTCATCTTCTGGTTTTCCTGGAAATGACATCAACTTCCGATCTCGGAATGGAACACCCTGTATTTTATATTATAATCGGTTAGACATTATAACGAACTCAACAATACCGTGTTTGATTGGGTTATTTCCAACGATTACGGATATATTCATCTCCAAAGCAGCGCAATATCGAATCTTCTTTCTCTGTCACACTCATTGAGCTTATGGAAACTTCGAACGCGTTGTTGAATTCGTTATTATAACCTCTAACCGATTATGGAATGAAATACAGGCTCTATTAGCCCTATGACATGATCTTTCCGGACACCCTGTACACTGTTTAATGTGGTGGTTATGGTGTTTTTTTTTTCTATGAACGTCAAAAAACGACAAGGTTCGCGCATTGATAACAAATTGCGTAATGACACGTTTCTTCAGTTTCCTACGTTAGTAGTTACGAAGTAAGTAATCTATATGAGATATTTATATTGCAACTTCATGGTCCTCAATCGATAAAACATCCAAGAAATCATTTCTTTCTTTCTGAATGTTCAACAATCATTTTTCTTATCTCTTGGACCGCACGAAAGGAAATTCCTATAATGTTCATGGAACATCGTGCGTACCTAGGGAGGATAGGGAGGGGCCTTTCAAGTCAGTGCAACACTATTTTTTGTATTGTGCCAAGCATATAACTACTTCAGAACTATGTTTTTTGACGTTTGTAGAAGAAATTTTGTTTGCCACTCGTGCGCGAAATACTTTGGTCATCTCAAATATTCTTTCAACTCGGTTGCACCTCGTTAAAAAATCCGTTCTTGATCACCAAAGTAGCATTTCGCGCACTAGATACAAAAATATTTCTGTTGGTGATGTGTTGATTTCTCATTTTTAATATAAGAAACTTCCCAAATGTTGAGTTATCATAAGGTGTTAACATATCTCATAATAACACGACGTTTTGCTAACACAGTACCTTCTCCAAGTGAAATACTCGTGTACAATACTCGTACAATATTTTGACAAATCATTTACGTTTGTTTAGCCTTTTACATCAATTATGGATCAAGTAACGGCCGAGTAAATTTGAAATCAAACTCAGAATACATGCGAATATTTTTATTTTCATTCTATGGTCTATATAGTTCTACCAGTAAATGTATAATTGTTCATTGTGTGTTATCTAATGATGTGATACTAACCAAACATACTAACTCTTGTTCGTGTATATATGGATATGTTTTACCAGATGGTGAACATCGATCTCTCTTATCAGAAATGGACGTTTCCGAGCCAACGTTATCACAAGAATGTCTATCAGTGTATCGGCAACTGAGATCCCTAGTATCCCAACTGAGGTCCCATTCTGACGATGACAGCGGACTGCATTCAGATTGTTCATCTTCTTCACTAGATGATTCGTCAAGGTAATTTCAACAAGATAGGTGAATATTCATGGAATCTTATCTACATAATGGAAAATGTTCCTTACCTAGTTGCATCTTCAGTCTGGTTCAAAATATTCTCAGAAAGGCACACATATTAGTATTTCTCTACTGGCGTGAAAGTATTTGTACAACAAATCCTGCGGTTTCATAACATATCTATCTGAATATTATGCGAATAATATTGGTTCTCGTTGTTTAGTTCAAAACATCTTGTAGACTGAATACATCAAAATAAAAACATACAATTCAAACCATGAGAAGGCTCAATGTTTGCTATCGACCTTCTATCGAATAGCACCATTGAAAAAATCATTGGTAACGAAATGAATTTGACCTCTTTTTACAATACAGCATTCAACTTTAGCATGTAGTTTTTTTTTCTCAATTTGCTTGTACCTGTTTCACAAACAGTAGCATTTCAGTTGTGCTTTAGGATAGGATATCACAATAGTACTTAATCATACTGCCATTATTACTCAATTCATAGCAACAATGGCTGTCATTATCGAGGATCAAATAGGTAATGAATGATCAACTCTATACTCGATGTAGATTAGATAGCGAATATCTCATTCGGATCAGAAGTGACAATGTTTGAATCGCAAATTTTCGTGCCCGTCTTCGCAATCGCTTCGCTTTGCAAACGCAAATTTCACTTGTCGTGTTCAGTAGCCTAGATAATCATTGAGGAATATTATTGAAATTGGAGATTTTTAAGTTATCCAACCTAAATATAAGTGAATATGATGGCGCAGCCTGGAAATGACAGATTATGGAAATTTATGAACGATTCTGAATTTATTTAGCAAAATTATGATTGCCGCTGGTAATTTCAGTTCAACATGGTACTACTCCAAAAATACTGAAAAATCATTCGAATTACTGGAACACCTGTCCACCTACTTCTACCACTGCCTTCTACATCAACGCCTATTGTACCCGCTTCATTGTCTTTATAGTCTGAGAGCTGACAACAAATTTCATTGTCCGATTGATAGATCGATATTTCCTACCTTATTGTACTGCCGTGACATCGTTTGACACTGATCGGAGGTCTGGCAGGTTTCAGTGGTGGAGGCGGCCGTGGTATGACCAATTATGCCAGACACATTGAGTGGTGAAATCATACGCCAGATAGCGTGGAAAACGACACTCTATCGCCCGATAAATAGAGACTTGGGCCAATTTTTTTTTGTTCGTCGTTCCAATGGACCCTCAGTCACATGCAATTATTTTCATATCTATAGGGTGGTCGAGTTTCAAGATATCGGCTGATGATGAGTTTTTGAAATGGGACACCCTGTTTTCAATTGCATTTTTGAATGCACCATAAAAATTTGCTAAACTGTTTCTTGTTTTCTGTATTCGACTCCACTATAGCCAAGTTGTTTAACTTTTGTCGTGAAAAACTGATTTTGTAGTGTTGTATAATAGTTTATTATGTAAAAAGTGTTATAAACATCCTTTTAGTAACGAGTATTTTAAGCACGAGCGGAGCAGAGCGGAGCGAGTGTTTAATAAACGAGTGTCTAGAAGAGTTTATAAACGCGTTACACACTATGATTTTTCTACGAACTCCAAAAATCACATTAACATACCTGCAATTCCTGCTAACCTACTGAATAATTCGGAAGGAATGGGAATTGAGAACATAATACATGCAACTGCATGCAACCAGCGAGACACGTATAAGTGATATTGGTTGTAGATATGTCCAGTCCATTGCTTACTAACCTTTGTTTCACGTTTATTGTCATGATTAGCGCAGAATAAATAAATTGTTCACAAAGATGGATGCTTCATTTTTACACTTCTTGGAGATATGCAAGTACCAGAACATTCTCTTTGATTTCGCTTTCGTCTACATTTTGCATATATTTTCAATGAAGAATTCTGATACAAACGAATATTGTTTGAATAATTCTGATAAAAAATTTGAAAATAACAGTTGACAGTTGATACAATTGACAGGCCAGACATGTCTCAAACTACTGAGGCTGTGTTTAATGAACTGTGTTGCCATGGTAATGTGTTTAAGAAATCGTGTTGCCATGGTGACGTGTTTAATATTTCGAATAAATCACAGATCGACAATCCGTGATTAATCGATCATTTAGAGTGGTACATATCCGTACGCTAAATGCCATTTTAGTTATGTGAGTAGAAAAATAAATATTTATTATACAAGTGAATAAAGTGGTAGATTTTACCTTCAGCATATGTTGTCTCATGACGCGTAGCTAAAATTTGAAACTTTTCTCATGTATAAAACACTTTTCCTTTCTGTGACAGGAAGAAGGGGGAATCGATATTATTATCGACGTGAAATTTGAAGTTTCTACCAGGAATAACACCTGCGTTGCATGCATCATTTCGCAGGCCTCTTTATCGTGCTTTTGAAGTAATCAAATATCTGTCAGTCTAATTTTGTGATTTGATTTTGAAAAAACCGCGAATTTAGTGGTTGTTTAAAAATTTACGTAACCCCTAAGTCGAATGGAAGAAAAAAGGACTTGCAGTTCTTTCTTCTCGGAGACAGTGTTATTTGCTTATTTTCCTCACTTTCAGAAAAAAGTAATTTATAAAAAGTGACCTGTCAACAAAATTGAAATTTCGAACTTTTTTCCGTCACAATGATAGACGGAAAAACTTTACGAAGTAGAAGATGCCAAAACTTCTTCATTGACACAAATGATACACTTTATACTTTCCAATGCACACCCGGGTGTAAAGCGGCACTTTGTCGCCTGGATTTGCAGGCGTGAAGTAGCAGTTCAGCGCCCTAGGGCGATAAAAGAGTACATCGGGTGGTAAAGTAGTTCGGCGGGCGATAAAGTAAATGATCGGGGGTGAAGTAGTTTCACCTTTTTTCCAGTATCATTCAATCTTTCTCTGCCACTGACATAATTTGGCCAAATAAATTCGAAATCATTAATTAATTCCTGGAAATATGGATATAAATATATAAAGAAATACATCGAGAATTCGCATTCTCCATGTGATGAAAATATCAATTCTTTCTCGGTTTATTCAACAGAAAACAACTACTTTCCTGGCTATATGCGTGTTAATATACACGCTGCGGTTCATAAAAGCCAACTTATCGCCCTTGATACATAAATAACTATGTATATAGTTAACTGTTTCAGATCCAATAATTTCCAATTCAAATTAGCCTTTTTGGAATTGATCGATATTTCAGCAGATAATTGATAATTTTATGGAAAAAATGTGATTTTTGAAATGAATTGAAAAATAATGTTCATTAGTACACAACAGAATGAAATACCTATTTTTCGAAGTGTTTCTATAATTTGGCAATGCATTAGAATGCAAATAAGATAAAGATACAAATGTAATATGAATGATATTTTCGAGAATATTATTGTACGTACTCAATTTCTTCTTATCAACAATACTTTTATAGAACATTAGTTATAACCTATAGATATGTCAGTTTTCCACGTGGATCACGCAGAAAAAATCACAAAATTTGAATTCAATGCACAAATAACAATTGTTTTCATCAATTAAAGAGTATTTGCTAAAAAATTCGTCGATATCGAAAACGGCAATATTTAGGTATGGGACATACTTGATAAGAATAGAACGCAACGTGAATCTGAATCCGTTAACGTGAAATAATACAGGATGTACTATTCGAAATAATGAAGTGGCATCTTCAATTTCCTCAAGTTTCTCCATCTATCATTGACAGAGTGTTCAATATCCGAACTGATTTTGTAAGAACAAATGGAACATATCTTGGACCCTTCTCGTGTGAATTCCGTTTGTTCCAATGTGCAGATGAAAATCACAATACATTCTTTAAAGGCTTCTTCAAAATCAGTTTTTGACCAAGAAAGTTGAATAACTTGTCAACCGTGGAGTCAAATACAACAAACAAGGAACAGTTGTGTAGCAATTTTGATGGTGAATTCGAAAATGTAATCGAAAACACGGTGTCCCATTTGAAGAAATTCATCATCAACCAATATTTTGGAATTCGAACACCCTATAGATATGAAAATGATTTCAAGTGACTGAGGGTCTTTTGTAATGACAAACTGAAAAAAGTATACCAAAGTCTCCATTTATCGGACGATTGAGTGTCGTTTTCACGCACCTTTAACGCTGTCTGGCGGAATTATTCCACCTCTCAATGTGTCTGGAATAATTCTTATTGAAAAACAAACATAATCTGCTACTACCCAACGATAATTCAGCGCTTTATTAATCTTACGTTGCATTGATTCATTTTTCAACCCTTTGCGGCCATACCACGGCTGCCTCCACCACTGAAAACCAGCCAGACAACCCGATCAATTATCGATAATGTTAGGCAACATAATAAGGAGGGATATATTGATCTATTTATCGAACAATGAAATTTGTTGTCAGCTCTCCGTCTACTACTTCACGCAAGCAAATCAGAGCGATAATGTGTCACATTGAAACAGAGTGCGCATAAACAGCTCTGTAACCTGCAGTACTTGTCAAATTGTCATTGAAAAAGGTCAACTGACAAAAACACAGATACAATTCGCGAATGAAAATTTTTTCTGCCCTGATGTTGAAAACGGAAACAAATTCGTTACCGAAATATCTGAAGCACAGACTTTTGGTAAGAAATGTCTCTTTCTGTTTTCTAATCTCAAACTTCTTCAATCCCAGCCACTGTTTCACATCTCACCGGAATTGAGTTTGATTTTCATTATTCAACCATTCCATTGTAATGATTTTTGTAGGTTTTCTCCCGGTTTACTAAGTGAAGTTGCTCAGGAGCTGGTTAGTCTCGTTTTAGACACAGACATTGTTAACATCCTAGAAAGTCTGGAACAAGCCAGGAGACAAATCCTAGAGCAAGGTGAAGAACTGAACAGAAGAAGTGGAAGGCTCAGAGAATTGACTAGTAAAGTAAGTAACTTCTGATGTACCTACATGGTGAGGCAAAATAATGACGACCCACTCCAATTTCAAATTTCAATCTTGCATGCATTATTCTCTCACATTTTTGTCATCTTTTTCATGTCCTTGTCACTGTGGGCGTGATGCAATTTGATATCCTTCTCTTTGTTGTTCTTAGTATCTCTTCTTTCCTTCTCACAACTTTCTCAGCTGCTAGTACACCTTCCGAAAAATATCCGGAGTTTCAAAAATGATAATGATCTGAATATTTATATACTGGCTTTATCGATTTCCACTTTCGGTTATAACTGAAGTGTAAATCATCTTCGTTATTTTGAATGTGAAGCTATATTTTTTATTACTTCTTCGTGTTCCTATTATTATGTTTAGATCATCTTCATCAGCCTTTCCATCACCAAAATCTAGCTGTTTACTAAATATGCCCCTTCGTATTCTCTGTCTTTTTTTATATATCAGAAACATTTTCTCATTTTTGTAGACTCGTGATTATGAAAAAACGATTAGGAATCTTCCACATTTGAGTAAACGGTTGGGATAGTTCGAGGAGTACCAATAACCATTTTTTTTTTTCGAATGGAATGCCAATTTTGTTTTTGTACTAAATTAAGGAGAATATAATTTCGATCTCTGTCAATGTTTTTTATACCTTTGTGTGATAGTTTTCAAGTGATGATTATTTTTTTCTCGATATGCGAGGGCCTCATAGAAGCTAATACTTTATTTGTACAGTTTGTCATGGACATGAGAATTCATATGATTTTGTTGAATAATCATGTCAGATTATTTCATTGTCACAAAATATGGAGAATCGAAGATATTCAGATCAAGATTTGATAAATTCATTCTTTCTCCAAGCGGCAGGGATAGTGGCTTTTTCCTGTCGCTCAACAAGTAGAAAACGTGTACCTTTACTGCCTAGGCAGAAAAAGTTTGTTGCTATGCAACGTTCCAAGAAATTCTAATGAAATTAGTAATAAAAATTGACACTGACATTGGGTGAACAAGAAATGATGGAGTTTTCAATTAAAAAATACACAAAATTGGTTTAATATCATTTGGAGAAAAAATTATATGTTTCACACGGCAGCAAATGTAGATTTACTACCTTGGCTGAATTCCTAGCCTCGCTACGCTCGGCTATGAATTATCAGCCGCGGCAGCCAATCTACTACTTTTCTGCCTAGTGAAACAAATAACTATTGTATTCATGGAAATTGTAGTAAAATAACCCCTGTAAACAAATTTTCAGATCAGTGTCATTTTGAGAATTCCAAATACGTCTACTCGCGTTTTGAGTCACTGGATATTATTAGTTCAATAAGAGTTCGGACACAGAAATAACAACTGTTAGTATTTTTGAAAGTTTAGATTTATTAACTTACACAGCTTGCATTGTGACAAGAGCACTATAGTCGTCCTGCTCTTTTTCAATCAAAATTGTTTGAATTTGAACTATTAGAAAACATTAATAAAAATGCCATGCTGTGTAATGAATTGTGGGAGTTCTGAAGAGAATGAATTTCATTTATTCAATTTTTCTGAAGAAATATCAACCATTCTCTTCTGGAAGGAATGTATGAAACGGCCTGAAGAAAAAATTTAAAACAAGCAAAATTCGTGAGGTACATTGGGTATCTCCTCCTCGAGTATATATGGATAGAGGTATCCTCCTATTTTCTACAGAACGTGCATTCGTCTTTCTCTTCTCAGTCGAGCTTCCTGAGATGTCCTCTTTTCTAGATTGAACTGTACACATTCACCTATAGCGTGAACTCCCGTCTGTAATATACTTGGGAATGTGCCAAAGCTTTCGGACTACTTGGTATGAGAGGCCCCTACACTCCTATTCCAGTTCCATCATGGCTCCTTGTTTGAGCTCAATACCCATGGATTCACTGTTCCATTATTTGTTGCAGCTCAGCCTCGTAGTGAATTGTTTCACAAAGCTGTACTTCTTATTTGTCTCATCTTGAAGCAATTCATGAATTTGCTGGTTGAGTGGACAGATTGGCATGCCTTTCATCACTCCTTCTCGTTTCAAACATTATATATGTCGTTCTCTTTGCCGCATTCTCCACAACTAAATGTAGGGGAGTGAGGTCTAGAATCAACTCCATTGCAGCAGTGGGATACGTTCTCATTGCACCGGTAATACATACACATGGTAGGTGATATTAGTCTTTTTGTGTAATCGGCATAGCCTTGACAGGATATGCTGAGATCAGTCAGCCCACAGAGTAGTTTGTCTACTGTAATACTCCACATTAAGGGGGATAGAGCATTCCTCCTTGCGGGCAGCCTCTTCCTGTTGGGATGCATGAAGACTTCGTTTCTGCAATTCTTGTAGACAGCAGTTGGGACATCCGTCGAGAAGTTGTTCCTTCTACTCCTCTGACTTCCATTACTCATTTGACAGCTTCATGAAGATGTTTGTCAAAGCTCCTTTTATATCTGAGAAGGCGCATATTAGTGTATCTTCATTTGTCAGTGCATCTTGGATACTTCCTGTCAGCTGTAGCAGTGCAGTTACTGTAGATTTACCCGCTTAATGCTGTCGGCAGTTGAGAAGCTTCTCGAAGACCTCTGTTCTCGAATAATCCTCTACAGCCTTTTCCATCGTTTTCAACATAAATCATGTAAGGCTGATTGGTCTGTGAAGTAATGTTTCCTACTTTAGGAGTAGAGGTGACTTTCGCCCTCCTCCATGCTTTTGATATACAAATCATTCACTGAATCATCAAATATATGAATCTAATTGGCAACCTAGCAATGAAGACTGATTCGGTCGGCTACCGTACATCTTCGCCAGTGTGGCCAGTTCAAGAATAAGATGAGCGGTAGACAAAAAAGCGGTGGATTTGAAAATAAAACGGTAGATATAATTCGAAAATTGCAGTTTTTGCCAACTACTAGTAGTTTAGTATAGTTACATAATCAGGATAGGTGATAAAATAATCATCATCAACATAAACTCCTCAAGATGCGCGGTGTACTTTACTCGACGCTATTCAGAAGGTAACCTCACCCTCTTCTCGCGGGCTCACTCGTGTCCCTATCTCTGAACTGGTACTGGTACTGGTGGGGGACGTTTGCACGTCAGCAACTAGTCCCTAATGGGACCTTTCTGCAAACTCCAAGTGTTTTCAATGAATGGTGTGGTTCGCTCAAGAGAGCTGGCTAACATCCTTTTCAGGCACCGCCCATCAGCTCTCTTTCTTTCAGAGTTTTTCGGCTGTGTTTTGTAAGCTAGTAATGTACTCACTACCATATGCGTAGTGGCAGGCCTTCTAGCTATCCTCGTTAACCCCCGTTAGATACTGGGGTCCACTAAGCAGCTGGCCCGCTCTCACGCACAGCTGGTAGTTTTCTACACCCACCTACATACACCGTCCTACTTCTCCTCTGATGGTCACAATCACATCATCATCTCTTTCTGCGTGTTCTGTGTAGGCTTTGTTACTAACTCCATGCGCCACTTTAGGAGCAGCACTGTTAATTGGAACGCAACAGTGAATCGTGCAGGACTATCCCCAGCCGATGCTCCGAAACTTTACAATATTTAATTCGTAAATAAAATATTGAAAAAAGTTCCTTGCTCGTGCTGGGAATCGAACCCACGACCTATCTCTGAAGATATTCCATCAAATCTCCAACCAGCTCAAAGTCTATCCGATCCTGAATTAGCAGTTTTTTTTTTTAATTCCATTTCCATACAACGATGTTCTCGTTCTTAGTTTTTCGGCAATGACATGCTTATTGAATATTTATTGTTTATTCTCTATAGACTTGAAGGTAGCAATATTTTGTTTATAATGATGATTTGATAATAAGAAGATTGAATATAAATTGGCATATGAAAAATCGTTAATGTTTTATACAATTAGATTTTTTAGGAAAGTGCCCTTCTTGACAGTATGCCCTTGACTTCTTGAAAGGAGGAGAGTGATACTGTAAGCTTCTGAGATGTCTCCCAGCAACTCAGTTGGGGTACTCTATCCCTGTTGCAGTCCGCCGACTGTGCAGTATCACAGTTGATGAAGATTACTCCAGGTCTGAAGTGGATGCCCCCGAACAGTAGCTTTTGTTCCAATCTGGAATTAATATCTTCTATCAGTGCCTCTTCCAGTATGATGGTTTGTTCTTCTTGAAGGATGTCGATTCTCTCAATATTCACTTCTGACGCATTGCTGCTTTTCGCTGGGGTGGAAATAGCAACAACCTTCCTCTTCTTGAGTTCTGTCCCGAGGGTTGGGGTGAGCTTAGTCTCATTACGTTTCCTTTTCTCTTTTTTCTGAACTGTATGTAGCTTCCTCTGGTTCAAGCTCTTGGTTAAGGTAGCGTAGGTACTATTTGACCCCCGAGCCACTGAGTCCACGTCGTCCCTGCCTCCGGGTTCTTCCAGTTCAGATAACGGGACCATTTCCATTTCTGTAAGTTTTTTTGTTTGTTTTGAGGTTCGGGCGGATGTTGAAGGAGCATGTATGCACTTCTGCTTCTCCTTTCTTTTCCTCATCATTTTCATCCATCCTTCTTCTGTGTCTCTTTCGTGGAAATGTCTCACGTCTGACATATGTCTGGTGTTGACGAATGATAGTCTCCGTAGGTCCGAATTGGGTAGCGATGTTTTCTCGCTGAGTTGGTTGAATTCCTTAGTTTTATGTTTCTTCCTCTATAGTTGATCCCGAGAAGCTAGGTAAGTCGTGTCTGCCTCTTCAGAGCCACGTATAAAAAAGTAAGGCTGGGTACAAGGGGGTTTCGCTAGGTGCCCCCAGCGAAATATTCGCGGCCATATTGAACCAGTGTTCATTCAGCCCACCGCACGTTACCACACCTTGGCTTGGTGAGGTTGGGGATAGATGGCCTTAGATGCCGCTATGATGCAATCACAGTATTCAGTTCAAGGGGCAGGTGTTGCTTATTATTTCTGGTACGGATAAATCAAACACAAAACATTATTCCTTCATCCACCATTCGACTATATCCCGTGACAGCCTGTGTATATCGGAAAATGAATGACCAAGACCCATTCTAAGTGAAAGTATCTTATGAACAGATCAGAAAAATGTACATAATCCGTCATGTTCTTTTCCTCTGTTTTTCAATTCTATGCGTATCATTGCAACGTTGGAAATACGATAAGGTTCAAAATGTATCTGTCAAATGAACAGCAGCCGTTTCAGTATGGCAAATATCCGATTGGTTGTGAATTTATCACTCATATCACTATGTGAATATCTCATTTCGATATCAAATTTTTCATATGAAAAGAACTTGAGAAACATTGTCATACTTATTCATTGTGTTGGTAGTAGGATTGTATATCATTTTGAAGGGACATTTTGACAAATGAAGGCTCATAAGTCCAAATTTTGACCAGTTAGGTATAGATGTGATATACATAATAAAGCGAGTTTCAGTAGCTTTCCGAATTTTCAATGATATATGCATAGGATGTTCCATCCGAAATAATCAACTGTCAGTCACTTCTTCAGGCGAACGAAAAAATTTTATTTTTTACTACCCTGTATTGAAGTAACGATGATAACGCTATATGGAATGCCTCCAAGTTCAACCGACTCCAAACCAAATATCGATATCATGGTTCTCCTTAACTAAAAGATATAAGCATTTCTATAGGTTATTAGGATTCACGATGAAAAAAATTCAAATTGATATCAATTTCAAAAACGATAATAGATAACTATAGGAAAATATCGGAAAATTTCGTTGGAGAATTGTTGGAGATTCTAAAAATAATATCATTTACTGGGTGTTCCTTTTGAAAAATTAAAGTTACTTCATAATAGAAGTGGCAACACCGCATTGTCGAAAAAATTTCCTTGGAGAAATATTAGAATATGTTCCTCATAAAATTTTCAAATGTATCCGTTGTCTGGGTCACCAGAAACGTCTATAATGTGCCATCCACGGTCATCAGCCTGTATACTTAATGGAATGATAAAATCGGTAAATTAAATTTGTCGATTCGGGTACTGTAACGCTGCTCTTTTATTTCATTGTGTTACTGCGATGTATGTTGTTATAGAGATTTTCAACTCTCGAAATCTTGTTAGGTGGACATTAGAGCTGTCTGGGGTAGACACAGCAGCACCTGTTCTCTTATATAGTTACGCCAATGATAAAAAGAAGTGTTTCCATCGCCCCCAACAAAAATCTCTGAAGTTGAATGAAAGAAAAAACCGAAAATAGAAATCATTTCATTATAGGCGTCTGTGTGTGAAGTAGAACTCGCAGCAGCCGTTGAAGAAAGAGACAGAGCCCGTCACGATGCCTCTTACTCATCTCTGGCACAGGACGAGGCAGTGATGAAAGCCAGAGATGAACGGGATATAGCTGTGCAACGACGTACAAAGGTTGAAGTGGAATTAGCCAGAACAAGGGTTGAACTGATGCAAGCTAGTAGTCAGTTGATAGAGTCAATACAACAAAAGGTCGAATTGAGTCAACAGCTTGAACAGTGGCAGGTAATGATATATCACATACCGGGTGGCTACTGGATATCTTAGTTATTGTATGAAGTAGGGTTGGGAAATTTGGAGCGTCGATATATTGACATAAGAGCTAGAATTTGAGCATATTGACATGTCGAAGTTAACGTCCGGTCTGACCGGAAGTAACATCAACTTTCTTATTTTAAATAGAAACCCTATTTTTTCTTCTTCTCGCTTGATTCAGCATCCAATTCCCTTTCTGATGACATATCACAAGTTGGTATCTAACCAGAAACTAGATCAGAAAAAAATTATTATTACAATTCACCGAATAGGCCGTGGAAGCAAAATGAAAGCCAAAAATTGAAAAGTTGGCTATGGAAACCATACGTCACTTGATAACAGTTGCTACTACTGCGATATTTTATTTTCATTCGTCGGCGTTATAAAAAGCCGCCAAAAAAAATATTGAAAAAATTGGGGAAAAAACAATACTCAGTAGGTCCATAACTTAAATAGGAACATACAACTTTTTCTTGCCTGTACTGTTCAGCATAACCATTCCTTTCTAATGATATAATAAAAAGTCATTTTTTGAAATAAAATACCAAAAAATCCAATTATTATTCTTCAAATAACAAAACAGATTATTGCCATACGCAAAAATAAAATTAAAAATAATAAATAGTTTCTGATTAGATACCAACTTGTGATATGTCATGAGAAAGGGAATTGAATGCTGAATAAAGCGAAAAGAAAAAAAATAGGGTTTCCATTTAAAATAAGAAAGTTGGTGTTACTTCCGGTCAGAACGGAAGTTAACTTCGACATGTCAATATGCTCAAATTCTAGCTCTTATGTCATTATATCGACGCTCCGAATTTCACGAACCTACTTCATACAATAACTGAGATATTCCGTAGGCAATACTTCCGTAGCCACCCGGTATATTTAGATGCAAAGTTCCTTACTATGGGTCTGGTATATATTTTGTTGTTGAAAAATACGTCAATTCGATAACTATATAAATTTTTCTGCCATTCTATTGTTTCGGTCCCCTATCAACGAGAGTGATTTCACCCAGTATGTATATATTTTGATGTTAATGGATGATATATGAAAAAATCCTCCCCGGGTTCTTCAAGAATTTAGGTTAATTAACATCATCTGTTCGCAAATCTAGAGTTTCGATATGATTTCACTTCACAAAGGCATACCGGTTTCGTGAGCCCAAAGGGTAATCACAATCAGGTGTAGTTGCATCTGAAAAAATCATGTCTCCTCGTTTTCAAACAGGATTTGAGAAGTATACATGTTTGTGCTATACATCCGGGAGGATTATTTCATGTATCATTCTTATACGTCAAAATATATTCAAAATGATACCCTTCAAAAGGCATGCTGGGTAAAATCACATCCAAAAGTCTCTCACTACCTTATGGTCTATAAAAAGCATTGAGGTTTGTTATTTCAAACAGATATCTTTCAATAGGTACCTAACTCGAGTAATCATTGAGTAAGGTATCGATTTCAAATTTGATAATCATAGTGCTTCAACTTTACATCTTTTGATCAGGATCAGACTAAATACAATCAGTAATTATTCGAATATATGGGTTCTGTGTTCACTCACCCTCTCTAATATTTTGGATTATTTTTTGCCTCTCTCAGAGATAATCAGGAAAGTATAAGCCCTTGATTGGTGCCGACACTCGTAATATCTTTGGTATAAAGCACATTGCAATAATATACTCCCTTTACTAGTACGATTTATCAACCAGAATTCTGACCTCCTGCTTATTCTCATATATATACATATGTCATGCTCATTTGTTCAGTGCTCGTTGCCAACTGGAGAGCACAGATTTCGCGCATCGCTTGCGTCTCGTCCTGTCGTTGACATACCTACCGGATGTCACAACGCAGACGCTAACGAACTGATACTAGAAACGGGATAATTTAATCAAAATCATTTGATCCTTATATTCTGAGTACAGTGGTAATCAATGGTCATTCACGATGTAATTCCATCAAAATTCTCATTCAGAAGTTATGGGAATTTATATTCTATAAATGTATTCGTATTGATTCAACAATTCAGTTGGTTTACTCAAATATAGAAGAATACATGCTACTTTACTATGAATTCATCATGAAATTTTGTTTACCATCGCGTCACATATTACCACTTTCCCTTTTTGCGTTTTCTGATCGAGGCAACCTTCCTCTAACAATAATAATTAGTTCTACCATCCCGATTTTCTGGAATCGTTTGTGCCATCTTACAATGAAGTAAAAAACTATTATCGACGTTGGGTTGATCGCATACTCTACATTAGTGAAATAGATAAAAAGGTAGGTTCCAGGTGAGTTGGGCGAATACCGCCCCTCCACTGTCACCTCAGATGGGTCTATTGTGTCTACAAAGTCCATGGTTGAATTAGGTAAGATTTGTGCGAAATCGATAGGTTCTAAATTGGTAAAGCCAAATATGTCGAACCTCAGTCTCTCTAAGCAAGAGCATGCACATAATATGTGTTCAGCCATTTTGTCTTCCACACAGCAGAACCGACAGTTTGTTTGTTGGTTCAGACCCATCCATCCCAGGTGGTATCTTAGACGACAGTGTCCCGAAAGCAGTCTTGTCAGAATTCGCAGGATACCCATGCTGCATTCTAGGATCTGCCTGGTTATATTTTCCGATGGTTTAGGCAGAAACGCCTTCGAATGGTAATTTAGACCAGTACGTGAGTCTTTTTTCCTATGCCCAGTTCGAGAAAGGACCCCGCACATTCAGTACGTGAAATGGCTTTCGGCTAATTTTTCTGAAAATTGGATGTTTCAGATATTATCGTCCTTATTACACAGTCCGATTTACAGATCGATGATGATGACCAGTTTTCGAGCTACAGGGTGTCAATCATTTAATTTTGGCTGTTTAGAATATTTTGCATTGATTTGGAATATGTGCTCTAAGGCATGATAAATCTTCAGTAGAAATAAACGCTCCACGTCTAGTTTCTACCTCATGAATCCCTTTATTCGAACCTAACCTGACTGTCTGATACAATACTGATGGTTTTGTTTACTATAGGTCTCTTCGTCAACTCTCTAGCACACAATTCAATTGCGAAGACCTCCGCCTGGAAGATTGTAGCATATTTACCGATATTGACACAGATTTCGGTTTTCTGCTGAACAAACCGGCGCCAACTCCAAGAGGGGTTTTCGAACCGTCTGTGCACATTACGTGTTTGGTCTCTGGGAATTGGACTGATCCACGTACCCACTCGTCTCTCTTCGGAGAGAGCTAGAACTTTGAAATACTTGTGTCATGAGTAGCCAACATGTCGGAAACCATTCCTAGAGTTTGGTGATTTTTTATTTAACACATTATCCCGGAGTTGTCTAGTAATCGCTGTGACAGGAATCTGTAGGAAACCATCCTGGCTTCCCTCTCCAAGACAATGTGAAGGGAAGTGTGGTTCAGGAGGTTTTCTATCGCTTCCGTTGGAGTAGAGGACATCGCCCCTGTAATGGCCAGGTATGCCAGTCGCTGGAGACCAGCAAGCTTTGCCCTGGCTGTCCCTTGCAGACCTCCAGTCCACCAGACTACCGAGCTATACGTGACCATTGGTTTTACCATTGTTTGGTGAATCCATTAGATCTGTTTGAGGTTCATTCCCCATGATTTACCGCATACCCTTCTGAGGTTTCAGAGAGAGAATCTGTTAATAGTTTTTGCCATGTGGGCGTTCCAGGTGAGTCTTTTACCTAGGGTGACTCCTAGATATTTCACCTCCGCCGCAAACGAAATGCTCTCTCCATATAGGACAGGCTGACGAAGCTTATTAAGCTTTTGCCTTCTGGTGAAAGGTATGATTACAGTTTTCCGAAGGTTAACAGACATCTGCCTCCTCTCGCACCATCTGTACACTAAGGCTTCTTGTAGGCCGTTTGAGATCGTCGCTTCAAATTTCCTTCTTACTATTAGGACTAGATCATATGCATAGTATTGGAAATCCACCCCCTGTATGAAAAGATCGTTCACCAGAGAGTGAACTTAGAATGATTACATAAGGAGGGAAAGTACCTCGCCCTGTGTACATTATTTTTCCGCTCTAAACCTGATCGACTCCCCATGCAGTGAAAGTTTTGATCCAGTTGCATATTTGACTCTACCTTGCATTGTCATATGAAGTGATTGTGATTTTCGAATGATATGACGATACTCCGATTGATTATCTTACTTATCTGTTGCATTTTGTACCTAAGTATATGTATTGATATATCATTCCATATTTTCAGATGGACATGGAGGAGCTATTGAATGAACAGCTCAAGAACAAACTTTCAAATCAAGAAATCAAAATGCGAAAGACTAGTGAAGAACCTATAGCACCTCCCCAAAGAAAACTCTTAAGATTTTTTTATCGATGAAACAATAATTAGGAATTCATCCAAGTAATCTTTATAGACTGGATACTTGATTTTAAATTGTTCATTGAAAGAAATATTATTGATCATTGTACAAGCAGACATTTTCCTGAGATTATTTATTGTAATATATGATTCTCTACAGAATCAAAGTGAAAATGATGAAAATATATTCATTGGTGGGGCTACTCGCTTTCAACGATAATTGACAAGGCTGTTCCTAGGGCTTTGCCGCCCGCGTGCGGTCGCCATGATGTCTCTTTAAACTCAATTCAAAGATGAGTCTGAAATACACTGGGTAAAGAATCATGCCAGTTTCATCACATAGATAGGGCACAATGAAGTATCCCGTTCCTCCCGGTAACATTGTATGTCCTTCAACATAACAAAATCCTTCTCACCTTACACAAAGTCCATCATATTGAGGTAACTTTTATGTTCCAATTAGCATTACATTGAGGTAACTATTGTTTCAACTGACGAAGGCATTTTAACGTTCATTTTGTTGACGTTATTGATTCAAAACTTTCACTACTTTCATTATGAAACTGTTACCATTATTCTGACGTTATTATTCCATGCCTTCCACTGACCGTTGCCCTAGTACCTGCTTTCACAAACTTCAATAGTCAGTTGCAATCATCAAAATTGGAATAAAATAGTTCTGTACTATTTCATCCTTCCTTTAATGAATGAAACTATTTGCTGGAATTCGAGAAAGTATTAGAAAAGACCCTGTGAAAAAGAAAATCCAGTCATTGAGTATAATGATAGAAATGTTCAAATCAAAGGCAGGACTCAAAATTTTATGGTTTTGAGTATCTGAATTCATAAAGTACTTATTTCACCTGTAGTGATTGAGTCTTTAGTTGGTAGAGGCAGGGCATCATCAGTGTCTTATCAAACGAGTGAAACTTCATGACTTTCATTGACTTTTTTCATTCAATCATTGGTCACTTATTTTTCAATGCTCTTCTTCAACTGATTTGTTTGGGTAGATACTCACAATATCATTGGGATTCCAAGAACTCAAGAAAACAAACCTAGTACAATTTCTGCTGATAGATTTTCACGTTTCTTGTTTCTTTTTTGTGTGTTTTTCATAGTAACTCAGGCATCTCTGGCTCTGAACAAATATGTTTACAACATAGACATGAAGAACATTCGGAGGGCAAACAAGGATAAGAATCTGAAAATTCACCAAGATCAATAATCATGATTTATATCAGTCTTCATCACAAAACCACCTAACAATTAGGGCTTCGCGAGACCAAGATTATCAAATCAATTTCTTTCTCAGGTTCCTTATTGTGAAATCTTTAGCGCAGTGACATTTTGAGACAAATCATCTGATTTGATCCCCCTGAAGGAATATTGAAATAAAACTAATGGTTTTATTAATAAAAGAGACGATCAGGGGAAATTCAGAAAATCTATAAAATTCATGATAATATGTTCATGTGCATGCTATTTTCGTATGGACTTGCCCTCTTTTGTTGAACAAGCACTGATTCTTCTATAAAATATTCCCAATCTTTTTATATTTGAAAATCATTTCAATAACCTCAGACCATAGCAATTATTCGTAAATATCTGTGGAATCTTATGGAATAACTACCTACTTTTGGGGATTTTTTCACAAAACTAACAATTTCTTCACAGTTAGGTTCCCTTTGTGTTTCGAGAAAATATAACCATATCTTTTTCAATGATTGAAGTTGTTTTGGAAGAATTAGCGACGGATTCTCATTGAGGATCAGCACAATCATATCATTCTGGAATACTGGGTTGAAAATATGGATCATTTTCTCAGAACACCCATCACGTCAGATATGTTTTTCAATACAGCTGATGAAGAATAATGAAATGTTTCATCTGCAAAATAGAATAATCACTTGAAGAAGTACTAAAAGCGAATAATGGCATCAATTCAAATAATGAGAAAGTGATAAAAAGTCTCGATCAATAGTCAGAGACTATCTAACAGACGAATATAACAAAATAATCAATGAGCATAGTGATAAACAAGATAATTATATTGAAGTAGTTGAATTTAATACATGAAAAACTCGACAAAAATTCTATAAATCCGAACAAAATGGTAAACTCTATGGAAAAACTCATTTTGATATACTCAAAGGTAACAAGTAGAAGCTGAATACCCCTCCACACAATACTCCAGCATTGATCATAAAATCAAGAATTATCCAAACATGAAAAAACCGAGAAAGATATTTATGCTACAATTAATCCTGTTATACCCAAAGCTGGCATAACAAAAATGCAAGAAATTCGAAACGGAGGAGTTCTACTGAAATCTTGTTCCGAGGAAGAAGTGAAACGTTTATAAGAAGTCACAGAAAAAGCTATAAGAAAAGAGTATATTATCACAAAATCCAAGCTCAGACCACCCAGATTAGTTTTCATTAGAACTAAGATTTATAGAAACACGAAAAAAATCAAAGCAGAACTACCCATATTCAATTACATAAATGATGAAGATATTCTGAATGAAGAATTCTCCAGACAGTCAAAATACAACAAAAAATATATAATTCATGTGGAAACTATTGGTAAAACATTGCAATTAACGAAATTGATTGATTGTCTTTATTACCCCAAGAAACATTTCTGTTTATGATAGGGATACATAAATACATATAAAAAAATAATAATAAAGGGTTAACTATAATGATGGTATTAATTCAAAATTAGAGAAGATTTATATATATGTTCTAACTGAAATGCTCATGGACACCTGTTGAAATCCCTTAAGCATTATGTTCTGGAAATCATAGACATAATGAATGCGATTATCATAATATTCCTTGTTGCATAAATTGTGAAATTGCAATGATGAAGTGAATAATAGGTGTGATAATACTTCTGATAGTGATGTGATGAATGTTCAATTTAACAAAAAAGAGCCTCAGCTAGAGAAACAACAACATATAATCTCCAGAAGTTCAAAAAAAAATTCCTATACCTCCTGTCCCTATCCCCCCTAGGAACGCACGATGTTCGTTGAACATTATAGGGATTTCCTTTCGTGCGCTCCAAGCGATAAAAAAAGTATGGCTAACAGAACTAGCGAAATAAGAGTCATTGAAAAATGATAGTGGAACTCATACTCTAATTTTACTGGGATTATGTTAATATTCTTCATTTCAATGGTATCCAACAAGCAAGAATGTAGGGTGGTAGTTTATCAAAGAATGACCTGATCTAGCAAAGAATAGGAAACAATATAAATAAAGAATACGATACCATTGGAATTGATATTTCACAATGCAATTCCAAATTGAAAATAATTGCCCTCTACCAACTCCAAATTCAGAAATTTGTGTTTTTTTTTCACTATACAGGGTGTCCCAGAGTAACGTTCGTATACTCCGGGAGGTCGATCTACAGATAAAAATAAGAAACAATCTTCCTATCAACAGGTGTCCGAAAATGCTTCCTAAGGGCGCAACAGCCCTTTGAAGGTTGGTCCCTAAATGCAGTTTTCTTCAATTATCTTACTACTATTGATCCTAGAATCATGAGATTTTGTGATATAATATACAGGGAGGTGCGAAACTTGTAACCCGTGCTATAAAAATGTCCCAATTTTTTTTGTCTCACATTGTATCTTCTTGCTAGTTCCAGAATATGATTTTCTAAACACTTCTTCATGAAAAAGGTACTCTTGTTGGAATGCCGTAAAACGAACCGTTTTCAAGAAAACTGTTATTTTTCTTTTTGATATCCGAAAGAATTCACGTCAGAAATTAATAAGTCGTCTGTCTTTAGACAATTTTGTTGCGGATATTTTCTCAACAAATCGAGATCAAAAAGCAAAACTAACTGAAATAGAAAATTTTAATTATCAAACTCCACTTTTTCTCTCTGGTAGTAGTCCATGCTCAAATTGGAGGTGATGAGATAATTAAGAGAACAAACTCAAAGTCTCGCTCCAAGTAAATTATAATAAAATCATATGTGCTAGTTATCAGGCTGAAATACAAAAAACTTATAAATAGAAGTTCCATCACTATTGGAAAATGGGTGACATACCTTGCTAGGTAGAAGGAGAAAGGAAACTATTGAATAGATGACATAAATCGTAAGGGTTTTAGGCCCCAAATAATTAAAAAAAAAAATTGAAAAAACCTTTTTGAATTTTGGTTTTTTGAACCCCCAGAAAAACATTTTTCTTAAGATGCTTCTTTTTTGTATCAAATAAACATAGTGTAAAGCAAATGGCGCGAGTATGAAGTAAACAAACCGTCAGACTACTTGATTCGGGAGATAAAAATGGTAGATATAAGTTATTTTTTGACAAACAAGTGACAAATGTCATCTATCAAATACACAAAACATTGAAGTTGACTCAATGGACCATACATCAAAGTTCATAACAAACAAGAAAATGTGTCTAGATTGATAAGTCGGGTATTTAAAATTGTGTTTTTTGAATCAGGAATAACAACATTAAACAAAAAGATTGCCAATGCAACCGATGAATGGAGAGGAGGATTACAAAATGGAATTGAAAGTGGATATAGGCAATCAAATCTAACTTGTTCATTAAGACACTCAGTTGGATTTGAATGGGCAGATCTATTGATTTCTAAAATTTCCAGAAGGTTAAGCTTTTTGCCCTTAGGATGAACATGTAGGACTTCAAAATCTTCTAGTATATTATGTTCGTGTTTATTCTCGAGGACATGGTTTGCGAAAGAAGATGTAGTGTTGATAATATCAGAATTTACAGGGTTTTTATCTTTATTATTATTTACGAAAATGGAACCTAAACTATCATTGTTTTTGAAAGATAAAGAAATGTTATGTTGTGCAAAGATTTTTGAAAATTTGAGGCAATGTGGGCCAGAATAGGACATAGATCTGTATATCCTGTTGGATTTTTCGATTGATGGCAGAAGAGGTTCCTGTTAATAAATTTTGATTGGTGTTTATAAAAAGTTTGTTTATTAAATTTAGTGGAAAACCGTTATTATATGTGCAATTTGTTTTATTATGTTGAGTTCATTATTGAAAGAACTTACTGAAAGAGGTAAATTGAAGAGTCTATGAATATGAAAACTTTTGACATGTGTGGCTAACTGAAGCAAGCCTACTTGGTTTTTTTATCGCCAAGGTACTTCGAAATTAA